GATGGCTCATGCTCAAGGCAGGCATTCTGCCACCCTGCCAAGTCCATCAGATGTAAGTAAGTAGTAGCTACCGAGTCTGTGTCACACTGGCTGCAGGATGCTCTGCAAGCAAACCGGTTGTGTGGAGAGTGTGAGTTCACAGGCTGATAAAAACCAGCTTTTGTCAGGGCCCATCCTGTGCATGGTGGCTGTATATGTGGCCTGCAGAAGGAACAGTTCTCTGAACTGGTGATTCTGTGTATACGTCCCTGAATTTCTGCTTGCACCTAAATGCGCTTTGGAAGGAATTTAGCCTCTGAATTTGAAGTACCTTTTTTTGCCTTTCCTACAGGAGACTGAAGTGGTGAAACCCTGCAGCTTTTAGAGATTTAGGAAGGAACACCATGACCGAACAGGCTTGGTTAAGCAGTTATTTGCCTCTGCAAGCAACTCAGACCTCTCTGTGGTCAGTTGGTGAGAGCACTTGCTGCAAAATCAGACCTCAGTGACTGATAAACGCACAAATAAATAGCTCAGTTGCTGGGGGATACGTAAGTGTCTTAGGCACTCACAGGCACTGACGTGACTCCTGCACAGAGCTGTCTCCAGTTCTTGTGTGCTCAGCTCTGGGTTTCCCAGCAGAGGCTTGCTGCTCGCTGCCTGCACGCTGGAGGGAAGCTGTTGGCTGTCACCTGAGGAAAACCTCTCTGAACTACAGTAAGTAGCAGTAGGGAAATAGCTTACATCAAAGGCTGAAGCTGCCACATTGTTACCCCTAACCAAGCCACACCTCCCAATCCCACCCATCACCCCGGGCCAACCTGACCTTAGCTGAGACCACATGCAGGTGCACACCCACCCAGACACCCCCCTGCCAGAAAAGCACAGACACGCCCCCATACAAACACACCCATATATAATGCACACACCCCACCCCCTATTTAGTAATCCTACTCTTGCTTTACCCACACCCCATGGAAGTGTCACCAGCACAGCCTTCCCTCACTCTTGTTCTCCCACACCCTGTGGAAGTGTCACCAGCGCAGGCCCCCCCCCCCCCCCAAATTTCTTAGCTGATTCAATAATTTTGTTGAAAGAATAAATTTTTTCCATGAAAAAATAAATTTCCCGCTCCTGTGTCCATGCTGGGAAAAACTGAAAAAAATTAAAGTCAAAAGTCTGTTAGGAAAGAGGCGTAATTATTTTACTAAATTCATTAATTTGGTTCAGTAACGACTTATTTTTTCTTAATTGATAATTTTAAATATTTTTTTAAATCGAATCAGTGTTTTGGGGAAGGTGTTTGGTGGGCTGGGTGGGCAGGACCAGGCAGAGGTGGTTGGGGGAGGGGCTTCGTCTGGCGGCAGGGGTGTCTGCATGTGTGACCAAGGAACATAAAAAAGAATTTAGAAAGGTGAAAACAAAAAATTTTAGCTGATTAGCATAATGATTATCTTATTTATTGGATTAATTAGGTGAATGGATTAATGAGCTTTGTTAATTTAATTTGTTTACTTAACTGATTAACTGAATTTTTTTGAGCTAATTAGATTTTTACAAGAAAAAAAGGAAAGAATTTTTCCTGGTCCTGCATGTATGCCAGGAAAAGCCTGAAAAAAAAATACAAAAAAATATTTCTAGATAATTATAATTATTTCGCTTAATAAATTAATTATGTTCATTGACTATTTATAGTAGTATTTCTTTAGTTGATGATTTTAAATAGTTTCTTAATCTAATTAGGTTTTTGAGGGGGGTGGGACGACCCCCCCAAAAAAGCTAATTAGCATAATAAATAGGTCACTTAATGGATTAATTAGGTGAATTAATGAGTTTAATCAATGTATTAGTTTATTTGTTAATTGATTAAGTAACATAATTTTTTTTTGCTAATTATTTTTTTTTTCAGGAAAAAAAATGTCCTGGTCCTATGTGCATGCTGGTAAAAAAAAAAAAAAAAAAAAAATATATATATATATAAAATAAAAAAAAAAAGTTAAAAAAATAGATAATTAGCATAATTTTTTGATTAATTGATAAATTAGGCTCATTGACTAATCATCTTAATTCATTATTTTGTTTACTTAGATCATTCTTTTAAATATTTTTTAATCTATTTTTTTCCAAGGGAGGTCTTTATTAACCCTGCACCTCCCACAGCCCCCCCTCATAGCACAGACAACACCCCCAGGACTTTATTCTCCCCACCTTGGCCCCATACCCAGCCCAGACCAATCTTAATGTCATTAAAAACAGAATAAAAAGGTAATCAACCTGAATACAACTTGAATAAAAGTGAGGAAAAAGTGACTAAAAGCTGAAGTGATTTAAACTGAAGAAATTCCATGAAAAGTGAATAAAAGTGGTTACGCATAATGAAAAAGGGGGAAAAAAAGCACAAAAGAGAATAAAAATCTTCAAGGGGCGTGAGTTGTGGGTCCACAGGACATCACGGGGAAGTAGAGGGTGTCCATGGGGTGTTACGGGTTGCCATGAGGCAGTGGGGGGGGGGTCACTCTAGGGTCTCTCTGTGTCGCTGGGGGTTGTTATGGGCATCTATAGGTCACTACAAGGTCTATATGGGTCTCTGTGAAGGGTCCATGGATTCCTGTCGGATTGCCATACATCCCTATGGGACGTCTGTAGGGTGTACGGGGCTCTATGGAGTGTCCATGAGTTTCTCTGTGTCACTAATGGAGCATCTAAAAAAAAACCCACAAAACAACACCACCAACAACCAAAAGTTACTAAAAAGGACTAGAAACTAAATAAATGTGGAGAACAAAAATGAATGCACAGCAAATAAAGCTGACTAAAACGGCATAAAGTTAGTAAAAAGCAAAGCAAAGTGAATAAAGTTATTATAAAAAGTAAATAAAAAGGAATAAAAGTGAGTAAGTCTGAATGAATCTCTAATAAAAGTGAACAAAATTTCATAAAAATGAATGAAAGCAAATTAAAAACCTGGGGTACCTATGGGGGCAGGTGGGTAGTGGGGGCCCTGTGGGGCACCATGGGGGTTGATGATGATGTCATCCCAGTCCTGGTGGCATCATGACACCGTAAGTCACAAGGGTTGTCATGAGGCCATGTGTGGGTGGCTATGGGCTATGTACAGGTTGCTCTGGGTGTCCGGGGGTCTCGGTAGGTCACTGTGGCATGTCCACGGTTTGCTAAGAGTTGCTGTGGGACCCTATAGGATGTCTGCAGGGAGTCTGTGAGGCTGGGGGGTCTCTATAGGGATCTACTGGGGTCTATGGGATGTCCACAGCTTGCTCTGGGGTAACTGGGGGGGGGGAGGAAGTTACTAAAAGTGACTAAACCAAATTAGAAGAAAACTGAATGAAAACTGAAAGAAAACTGAAGAAAAAAGTCAATAAAATGTCAATAAAGCGATTAAAAAGCAAATAAAAATTAATGCAAGTGAATAAACCTGAATGAAATGCAAATAAAAGTAAATAAAAATGAAAGTGCATCAAAGAGTCAACTGCTGTTGCAGTATTTATGGGGAGTGGGGGCCCTAGGGGGTACTTCGGCTCGCTGTGTTGTGTGGGCTGCCTGTCCCCCGGGGAGTACAGGCTGCTGGGCACGGAGGGCCAGGAATATCGGGAGTGCTGCTGGGACCAGCACTGGGAGCTGCTGCCTCAGGTGCTGCTGCACCCCTGGACGCCACTGGCACTGTGGGGTGGCTGCTGCTGGGCTGCACCCCAGGGTGTTACTGCTATCACCCACTGAGAGATTTTCCTGCGCCTCTGGGATGGATCTGTGGACCACAGGAATGCTGGAGGTTCACTGCTGAGCGCCACACTCCATGGGCTGAAGCGTGTGTAGATTGAGAGCAAGGGCCGCCTTTCTCAGTGAAGGACTGTGGCAGCTACAACAGTGTGTGGCCACGAACAAGCTGGGCAACACCAATGCCAGAATCATCCTGTACGGTAGGTGCCCTGGTTTCTTTTTGCAGCAAGGTGTCATGAGGAGGAGGAAGAAGATGAGGAGGAGGAGGATGAAGAGGAGGAGTGGCCAGCAATGGAAGGGTGTGGGTTTTATTTAGCAATGCTAACCCAGCAAGGTGCCAAATGGCACGAGCTCTGAGCGGAAGATTCAACATTAGGTTTAGATTAGACATTAGGTTCAGAATAGACATGAAGAAGATTCAACTTCAGATTAGACACAGAATCATAAAATGAAGAAGATCCAACTTTAGGTTTAGTTTAGCCATGAAGAAGATTCAACTTTCGGTTCACATTAGACATGAAAAAGACTAGGTTTAGATTAGACATTAGGTTTAGATTAGACATTAGGTTTAGCTTAATTATTAGAGATCAATAAAACTGTTGTGTTGTTCATTCACCCCATGTCCTGTGAGTTGATTCTGGCTTTTGGAGTCCTACCCTGTTCTTCAGAGCAAAACCACCTGTCCCTGGAGGCCCTATGAGCAAAGAACGGGGGTGTCAGTGAGATGCTGGGTGCACAGCTGCAACCCTGCTCAAATATGGCGTGTTCTGAGCTGAATAAGGTCCAAGAGCTGCTCTGGCACTCTGCAGCTTTCTGAGGGTGTGTGAGGTTGGAGAAGGAATTGATTCCCTTGAGTTGGAAGCCTTTGCCAACCAAATGGAGAAGGAGATTGGCCAGCAGTTCACTGCGGGGTCTGGGTATGACACTGACACTTCCAAGTGTCCCTTGGAAGTGACACTTGTGTTTCCAAGCCAAAACATCAGGCCTGAAGCTTTCCCCACACATGTACACACGTGCATAAAAGTGTACACACATGTACACACACATACACAGGGCAACACTCACGCACACGTACACGTGCATGCACACGTGTGGCAGACGCACACAGACTGAGCATATACTGAACACACATGTACTGCACACATTTATTGCACACAGGTCTTCCTGGTGTAGATGTGCTTGCTGGTCTGTACCACACCACAGGCGGGGCAGAGTGACCAGCTCCAGTGGCAGGGGATTGTCCCATGTCACAGTGAGGACGCACACTCACAGGCCCATTGGGTGTGGCCCCATTGTGAGGTGTGAGGTGTCCCAGGCTATTTCCAGCCAGCAGGGCCAGCACAGCCCCAGATGCACTGCTGGTTGCAAACCAGAGCTCCTGGTTTGGATCCCCAGCCTTGGGCCTCGCGTGCTACCAAAGGCGCCCAGGCCCTGCATCGCTATGGCACCGCTGCTGCTGGTGCTACTGCTGCTGGGCCTGGCCCCCAGCCTGGCCCGGCCCCTGAGACCCTGCCCAGGGCCCTGCCGCTGCCGTGGGCACCGGCTGGACTGCAGCGGCGCTGCCCTGTCCCGCGTGCCCCCGGCCACACGCCAACGGCCCTTCTCTGTGCTGTGAGTGCCCTGCAGCTCCGGGTGCTGCCCCGGGACACCCCGAGAGCGGCTCCAGAAACACGCTGCATGTGGGGGGCTGATGGGCAGCACCGAGGGAGCAGCTCCAGGCCAGCCCCGCGGCCACCCCACAACCCTGGGGCAGGGGAATGGTTTGTACTGGGGCTGATGCTCCCAATGGCTTTTCTGCAGGGATTTCACTGGGAATGTGCTCAGTCTCATCCCCCGGCAGGCGTGGCAGGGATACCCATGGGCTGAGAAGCTGTAAGTATCCACCAGCATCGGACACGGCGCATGGGTTCCGGGATCCCCATCCCTCCACCGGGCTGTCGAGCCAAGGCTGTGACAAGCACCACAGGAGTGCTTGCCGCGTGCAGCCAAGGCCGAGCTGCTCAGCAAGGAGGGGTGTGAATCCCCAGAGCTGTTCCACGGTGAGCAGTGCCCGGGGCCGTGTCCCTCCCACCCCCCGGGGCCATCCCTGGGCCTGTGGAACCTGTGCTCAGGCTGCAGTCAGTCAGCAGGCCCGGAGCAAATGCCTGCTCCTGCCATGAGGGTGATGAGCCGTGGCGGGACCGGGAGAGATGCTGCATTGATGCTGCTGCAGGGCTGTTCTCCCGACAGCTCCATTGCCCCTGAGAGCTGTGGGTGCCACTGCCCGTGTCTGTCTCTTGCAGAGTCCTCCAGCACAACAACCTGCTGGCAGTGAAGAGGCGCTCGCTGGAGGGGCTGCTCCTGCTGAGGCATCTGTAGGTACACGCCTGCCCATGGCGGTGGGCACGCCTCCCCCTGTCCCGGCCCTGCTGCCCAGCCTGCCCCAGGAAGGGCTTTATTCCTGCGGGGAATAAAGAGTCTCCTTGCAGGGGAGGTCTCCTCAGGGACACGTGGTGCTCCCATTGCCCCATATCCAAGCAGGAAGAGGCAGCTGCTGCCCTTTCCCTGCACAGACCTGCACGAGCCCACCTGCTCCAGGGGCAAGCTCATGCATTCGTCCCCTCTCAGCTCAGATGCCCCAGAGCTGCCTGGGAGTGAGCTCATGGTGCAGCTTCTCTCCATTGCCCATGGAGACAAGCGGGTACTTCCCATTCACCCACACAACAGGGCCAGGGACTCTGCCCACAAAGGTTCCTGTCTCCTTGTCTGCAGCAGAACAAGCCCAGGCAGTGAGTTCAGGCTGGGACACGGAACCTTTTGGTTTCTAGAGCCAGGCCAGAGGACTCCTGCGCACATCAGAGCAGGGCTGTGCAGGGAGGTGACGTCTAGGAGCTAAGGGAAACAGCCCCATGCTGGTCACACAGGGCGTTTCAGCCAGTCCCTGAGGCTTCACACAAGAGGTGCTGTTGGGGCGTGCATAAAGAACCTGCTCTGTTACCAGAGAGGAAAATCAGCCCTGAAATATCCCTGGTGGGATCAGAGCTGAGAGAACCTCTCTGAGCTGCAGCCGCCCCAGTCACGAGCGTAAGCCTCAGTTACACACCACTGCAAGTCAGTGCCAGAGAGAAACCCCACATGAAATGAGAGCTGTGGCACATCTGTGCTGCCAGTGTCAAAGCACCTGAGAGGAACCAGCACCGTGCAAGTGTCACCAACGTTTTGTGTTCTCCTGTTAACAGGGATTTAGCTTACAACAAAATCCAGCTGCTCGAGGAGCGTGCTTTTGAGAACCTTCCTTTCCTGGAGACCATGTGAGTTATGGGAGCTCCTTCCTGGTGTGGTTGGGGAAGCCTGTTTGCATTTAGAACCTTCTGCTGCGGGAAAATGCTCCTGTTATTTTTAGAACAAGGACTCCAATTTCTCCTGCTGAAGGAGCAGTTGAGCTCAGGAGCTCAGGGCGTGGCTGGTGGCCACACCAGGATGGGGGCCGTGGCTTGTGCAAACACAGCCAGAATAGAAGCTGAGTCTTGAGGCTTGCCGTGCCCTGGAGCAAGCAGAGATGCAGCACACGTGCACTTCATCTCTCCTTGACAGGTTAACAAACAGCAGGAGAGAAAATGGCAGTTTCCTTCCAGTTCCACCTTGGATGTGGCTCTTGCCTACAACTCAGTGCTGCTTCACTCCAGCTTCCTGTGGGTCAGACCCAATTCATTTCTGTGGTCTCCTGTTTCCCCAGAAACCTGGAGGGAAATCTCCTCACCGAGATCCGGAACGACACCTTCCGGGCATGGCACGGGATGCAGTTCCTCCAGACACTGTGAGTGTTTCAAGGGCTAAGGGCAGCTCAGATTAGTGGCACTTTGTCACAGTGTTCTGCTCCCCTCTTACCCCAGATAGACAGCAGCATCAATGCTGAACGACAGTTCTGTCAGGCCACGGCTTTGCCTGGCTGGGTACAGGAACAGAGACAAAGCTCATGGACAATGGGAATGTGAGAAAATAGGGAGTCCTGTTGGAGGGAAGCCACCAGAAGGTGTGAGCTGCAGAGAAAAGAAAGAGATGTTGTGTTTTCCAGAAGCAGCACTTCTGGGCTTTTGCTCTCTGGGCTGGAGATAGTCAGGACCTGACGTATGTTGTGAATCTGCCCATCAGTATATGCCCAGGCCTGGAACCTTCACCCCAGGCCCTTCCTCACACACATAGCACTGAGCCCTTGCCACCGCTGTCATCCTGCAACCCTGCTCACATGGGTATTGGTTCATTTCAGGGTCCTGAGCCGTAACCCCCTGTCTGTTATTGAGGACATGTCATTCTTCAAGCTGCCTTCAGTCGCTCACCTGTAAGTACAGACTCCTTGTTAACAGCTTAACATGGCTCATTGTGTCTCTGGATGTCCTGTGGCTGGGAAAGCAGAGATCCAGCAGCAAATCCTACCCTTCTCCCACCCTTCTGTTGGAGGCAGCACAGAACCAGGCAAAGGCTGAGCAGTTCTGGTGTGTCCCGACTGCAAAGGCAGCAAGGAGCTGGGACTCAGACTTGAACCTGTCTGCATCTGTCTCCCACGGGATCTGCAGGATCCCTTCCTTGTTCAGAGCCATGGGTGGGAGCAGGGCACAGCAGGAAGGAGAGAGGGGGTTCCATCATTTCTCCTGGATTAGGTAGCAGCGGATCCCCCTGCGACCAGCACCGCAAGCAGTAGGGGCTGGGTTTGTTCCTGGAGCAGGGGCTGGTGCCGCCACCTCAAATGTAATGTGTTTCTTGAAACCCTTGCAGGGACCTGGGTGCCACACGAGTGACTCGGCAGATGCTGCTCATGCTGCTCCTGGGAACATCCCGCTTGGAAACACTGTGAGTGCAGGGGCCGGCTCCCACCCCCAGCAGATCCCAACTGCTGGGACAAGGGGTCTGTGTGGGGAACGAACCCACCATCACAAAACTGTCCATTGGGACACTGGGAGTGAGGGGAAGCTTCCCAGAGCTGCAGCAGAGACTGAAGCAGACCCCTGACATGTTTCTGCGCACCGCCTGGGTTGGAGTCGCTGCCCTTGGGTCTCAATGCTGAGTGTTTGTTCACAACCCCTGTTCTTTAGCAAGCTGTCCATCGACACGGCCTGCTGCCTCTGCCAGCACAAGCACAGCACCGAGACCCCGTGCAGGACCCTCAGCTTCGACTGCACGAGCGTGTGCAGCAGCACTGCTCCCCGCTGCGGTAACTGCCCCACGGCCCTGCCCGTGCCCCCAGCCAGAGCGAACCCTCTGAGCCTGCGTCTACCAGAAAAATTCTTGTCCCTGATGTGCTCTCGCTGTGTTACAGCTCCCTTGGCAGAGACACCAGGGCTCCTGACGGGAGCCGTGCCACCCAGGGAAGGGAACAGCAGCTCCATGTTGAAGACCCAGCCCAAGGAGCCCTTGCTCAGGGAGCAGAGAATTGTCACGCTCACGGTTGTCCTGAGGCTGAGCAGCCCCAATGCGTCAGCACCTTCCCCTCAGCAGCTCTCGAGGCAGGAGAGCAACACCGCCAAGGAGCTGGTGCTGATGCTGCAGCGCGCTCAGCAAAGGGGCTGGAACAGCTCCCTTGACACAAAGAGGTTCTATTTTCTAGCAGAGGGGCTCGTGGCACAGCTGAAGAACAAGATGCACAAGGCCACGAGCACCCTCACTCTGAAAAGCCCCAGCACAGCCCAACCAGCACAGAGCGACAAGGGGCAGGAGGTGCCAGCAGGCCAGGGAGGAAGAGCCACAGGCTGGAAGCAGCATGAGCCTGGCCTGCACTTGTCCCGATCACAATCCATCCTTTGGGAAGCAGTGCAGAGGTTGAACATCAGCGACATCCTGCCCATCTCCAGCCATCAGAGAGCACCCACCCCTCCTGCATCACAGCCCCCTACACCATACCCAACAGAGGCCCCGCATCTGGCCCACTCTGGTTGGAGTCACAGTCACTCCGATGCCATCCAAGAAATCAACACAGCTGACGGGATGGAGGATGAGGAGGGGGCGGCAGAAGATGAGGAGGAAGCAGCAGCTCCAACTCAGGACTCTGCTGGGACCAAGAAGGAGCAGAAGCTGCAGGACAGTGAGAGGACAGCGGGCAGCGAGCGTGCAGAGGGAGAGCTCGCAGCAGCAGAGGGTGGAGCAGAGCAAAGACTGAGCATGATCCAGCGTTTCTTCTATGCTCTGCCAGCTAATGGCCCCCCTGCTGCCAGCAGTGCAGCAAAAGACACAGCTACAACAGAGCGTTCCCCTCTAGGCGGGAACTCACTTACCGCCCCTGCAAGCACCACCACACGCGAGCAGAGCAAGGAGCAGGAACCGCCCATCCTGACGGCACCCGGCAGCTCCAGCACCCCGGCTGGTGCGGCCACGCAAGGAGCCCCCTTTGACACCCTGCTCAGCCGCCACCTACGCTGGCTGGTGCCAGACCGAGCCCTGCGCAGGTTCATGGCACAGGTGGCTCGAGCCCTGCGGGGGGACTGTGGCCTGCCTCAGCTCCAGCCGGCCTGCGCCAAGATGGTCTCGAGGATGGGGCTGCTCCTGAAGCTGCTGAGTGAGAAGCAGCATGACATGGAGCCCTCTGATCTCCTGGAGCAGTGTGTGCAGGAGGAGGACACCAGGACCGCACGTCCCCGTGCCAAGGAGATGGACAGTGATTCTGCAGAGACGGTAGGAGAGAGTGGGGCACTGCTGAGTGTGCAGACAGCGGGAACGGAAGGGACCTCTCCCTCTCCCTTTTTGTCTCCTCTCCTCTCTTTTCTTCTCCACCCTAATGCTAACACTCCTAACACCCTAATGCTAACACTCCTAACACCCTAATGCTAACACCCCTAATGCTAACACTCTCCTTTTCTCCCAGGAGATGCCCAATCACACCTCTGTGCAAAGGCTGCTGCCGGTGCTCACGCTGCTCATTCTCATCCCTCTCCAAACGTGTATTGCTCTCTTGGTGCTGTGCTGCTTCAAGGTGAGCCAAGGACTAGTTTGGCAGAGCACTGCCAGCTAAGTCCTGGGGCTGGAGCACACAGGGGCAGGGAGGTGTTCCCACAGTGCTCATGGGCCCCAGTGCTGCAGTGGATGCCTGTGAATGTGCTGGGGAACACAGGAGATGTTTTCCCAGACTTAGAGCTCATTGTGGTACCCGCACCCGGGAGCTTGGAGGGGTTCAGAGCTTCTGGGAGCAGCTTGTCCTGGCTCCTGCCAGGGTCTGTCCCCAGCTCTGCTGTGCAGCTTCCCAGCAGCTCCTTCCTTGAGGGGGGCTGCAGCTCCCTCTCATCACAGCCTATGCCATCAGCCCTTCCCGGGCTCTATCCCGCAATCCCTCACCCCAAGCATCCCCTCGCCAGCTCCTGTCCTGGACTTGCTCTGCTGTAGCACCCACTGCTTCCAGCCATGCAGTAATGCCACTGCTTGCTGCCCTGAGCCCATACCCAGCCCTTCCGTGTGGTGCTGCGGCTCTGGTGGGTTGGGGCCGTGCCCGGGCACAGGCCAGGGGCCCCATGCTGCCCGCAGAGTTTGAACCTCCCTTTGGGGCCCTTCTCCTCCAAAGAGACAAATGAGCTTTCATGTCTTTAGGAGGCATCGTTCGTGTTGCAGGCGGCGGTTGAAGGGGCGGGGGGGACCCTGCAGAGCTCTGTGCAGAGGAGAAAGGCAGACATCCACAAGGCTGAGATGAGGAGAGCTCTGGGTCATTCCAGAGGCAGGGAGCAGCGGGGAGATGGGCAGGGAGGCATGGGGCGCTCTTCCTAAAGGCATGGCTGCTGGAACAGCCTTGCACGGGTGTAGAAGGGGCTGGGCTAGAGGAAGAATTTTCCGGCTCTCCCGTGCTGCAGTGTTCCATGAGGAAACCCCTGTGTTCTGAGTCTCTGTCTCTCTGTCACCAGGTCTGCTGCAAGAAACCTGCCGAGGATTCCCAAGGCAGCAGCAGATGGTGCCTGCAGTGGTAAATCCTGCCCTGCCCTGCTCCAACAGGCGCGGCTTCAGCAGCACCCAGCCCTGCCCAGAGACCCCCCAACTCCTCCAGCACCAGAGGAATTCATCCTTCGCTTCTCACCCTTCTGCTCCTGCTTGTTTCCAGGTGCTTTCGAGACCTGCGGCCCAAGTGGTTCAGCAGGAGCAAGGACACGGACAGGGACGAGCATGTGGTAACGGCAGGAGCAAGCGCCAGCTCCGCCCCTCTGTCCACTCCCTGCCCCGTGCCTGCTTCTCACCACTCCAGTCCCAGCGCTGCGGAGGAGTCAGGGTTGGACAAGGTGGTCGTCAATCAACAGTAAGTGTGATAGCGGCGATGCCTGCCCCGCGTTCAGTTCACGCAATTCCAACCCCCTCCCCATTGGCTGTTATGTCATTGCTGTTATGTCATTGCTGTTATGTCCTTGCTGTCCCTTCAGTGATGCCAGATCCGAGACAGGCTTTCACAGTGAGGACAGGCCATTATGGGAAGACCTGAACTCCCTTGCCTTCGGAGCACACTCAGGCTTGGCCTGGGGGGCCTTCTCCATGAAGTAGGGTGCTGCAGGCCCCCTGCTGCTTGTGACACCCTACGGCGAACATCGTGGAGTTCAACAAAACCAAGTACTCCAGCCTGGAGAAAAGAAGGCTCCAGAGAGACCTTAGAGCAGCTCCCAATGCCTGAAGAGATCTGGAGAAGATTAGATTAGATATGAAGAAGACTCTGCTTTAGGTTTAGATTAGACATTAGGTTTAGATTAGACATTAGGTTTAGCCTAATTATTAGAGATCAATAAAACTGTTGTGTTGTTCATTCACCCCATGTCCTGTGAGTTGATTCTGGCTTTTGGAGTCCTACCCTGTTCTTCAGAGCAAAACCACCTGTCCCTGGAGGCCCTATGAGCAAAGAACGGGGGTGTCAGTGAGATGCTGGGTGCACAGCTGCAACCCTGCTCAAATATGGCGTGTTCTGAGCTGAATAAGGTCCAAGAGCTGCTCTGGCACTCTGCAGCTTTCTGAGGGTGTGTGAGGTTGGAGAAGGAATTGATTCCCTTGAGTTGGAAGCCTTTGCCAACCAAATGGAGAAGGAGATTGGCCAGCAGTTCACTGCAGGGTCTGGGTATGACATCACAGCCCAGAAAGCCAACCATATCCTGGGCTGCATCAAAAGGAGTGTGACCAGCAGGTCGAAGGAGGTGATCCTGCCCCTTTATTCTGCTCTCGTGAGACCTCACCTGGAGCATTGTGTACAGTTCTGGTGTCCTCAACATAAAAAGGACATGGAAGTGTTGGAACAAGTCCAGAGGAGGCCACGAGGGTGATCACAGGACTGGAGCACCTCCCATATGAAGATAAGCTGAGAAAGTTGGGGCTGTTCAGCCTGGAGAAGAGAAAGCTGCGTAGAGACCTTATGGCAGCCTTCCAGTATCTGAAGGGGGCCTATAGGGATGCTGGGGAGGGACTCTTCATTAGGGACTGTAGTGACAGGACAAGAGGTAACAGGTTAAAACTTAAACAGGGGAAGTTTAGATTGGATATAAGGAAGAAATTCTTTCCTGTTAGGGTGGTGAGGCACTGGAATGGGTTGCCCAGGGAGACTGTGAATGCTCCATCCCTGGCAGTGTTCAAGACCAGGCTGAACAAAGCCTTGGGTGATACGGTTTAGTGTGAGGTGTCCCCTACCATGGCAGGGGGGTTGGAAGTTGATGATCTTAAGGTCTTTTCCAATTACTGTTCCATACTGGGCAGTCCCCCTCAGCTCGACGCTCCCAAGAAGCCCCAGGGAGCTCTAGTTATGGGCGAGTGGTCCTGGCTGTAGGTGAGAGGGGCCGAGAGGGGCCGGGAGCTACTCACAGCCTCCCTCGACCTCTGAGGGAGGTCCACACAGCCCCCACCCGACCCCTGAGGGTGCTCGACACAGCCCCGCCATCCTCCCGCACCTACCCTCGACTCCCCACCCTTTACCGCCCTCCCCCATATGGAAAAATGAAGTATATGGTCTTTCAGTAGTGAATATAATTCAGACTAAGCATTAAGAAATTAAGTACGTGTGGAAAGCAGTGTTTTCTAAGGCTATGGGGAAAACCAGAGTCACCTTGCAGTCATTAAAATTGGAGCAACGGCCTGTGCAATAAGTTCCTGTTGCTCATCGCTCTGCCCAGCTACGGGACAACTGGCTTCATACTTCTTCCTCAAGCCTTTCAAACATATCCGCAAACTGTCTGGATCCAGTCGAGAACTTCTGGCAGTCTGAACCAATCTCATTGCTAAATGGCACACAGGTCTCTGTCTCACCATCTCAGGAGGGCTGTTCTGCCTGTGCTCTTCTCAAAAACACACCCATGCAGTAAAATAGGAAATCAATTTTCTTCTGTTATTAAAATTCTAATATTAGCTATTTTCCACCCTCCTTCGCGCCTCCTGATTCTTGACTTGTACACCAATGCTCCAACCTAAACTCCTTCACTCTAAGGACTGCTTTGGACTGTCACCTAACAGCAACCTTCAGTATAGTATTTTATAACTGGTTCAGAAATACAGATTTTACCAACATCTACTTTGCTAAAACCAGGGGCAGTGCTTCTCCCATGTCCTTCCAGGAACTGAAAATGTCTCTGATTTTTATGAAAACTGTGAATTACTCCATTACAATTTTCTATTACATACCGAAATTTGTTTTGCAATGTGATTTGTGATTTCCTTTGCATCCACAATGATATATGATGGTAGGGAGGAAACTTTCAATCCTAAATATATAGTTTTAGGAGGTTTTAGGAGTTATAAATGAAATGTCTCCTGTGTTACCTCTGAGACAGGCTTTTCACTGCTGGTAGCACTGTAACTGCACAGGATGGGGCACATGAGGGGTTAAAGCTGGAAAATAGCACGCTGGTGCTGGCAGCTTCTCTGTTCAATTCTTTTAATTGGGCAGGCCAGAAAATGCTGTGGTTGTGCTAAATGCACTCTCCCTTAAAAGCAGATATCCAGCGGATACGGATGTTGCGCTACTCTCTTGTCAGCAGCCAAACTCCCACAGACTCAGGGTAAGGAAGAAATGTACATTTTTGTCCCTGCACTAACATAGTTTTTCCCCTCTGTCCGTGGCCCTGGCTGCTCTGAAGAACCTGTGCTTCCTCAGGTGCTCCCATATTGTAGGGTTAAAAATGAAAAAGCATCAGGAAGGGAACCTGCCCTCTTTCTTAGCATGTAACTTTGCTCAAGTAAGGGCTGTTGCAGCATCTGAAATTGAGCTTGTACAGCGAAGGGGAAGGAAACTTACTCTGAAATTCTGATAAAGAAACATTTTAAGTCCAGTTAATTGAAGCCTGACTGGAATAATTCCTAGGCCTCAGTTACCGCTAGTCTGCAAAAGTCATGTGTAGATAATTTTCTATTGGTTAAATGTCACCCAAATCAAACTCTATAACCTAGTATTCAGAAATGTACGGATTTCTCCTTAAATATGTAGCTATACCTTACTGTCACTCACTCATTTCTTTACTGATCCATCATCGGTCAATCTGTGCAGTCTTCAGTTTGACTCATTCTGAAGTTAAGAGAAGTAAAAGCACTTTCCTGAGAACACCGCTGCTTTAGTGGAACCTCTCAAAATCAGCCTTCAGCTGAGACACTGTAAAATTCCTGCCACTTTTAAAAGAAACTCTATGCCTTTTTGCTAGCCAAAAAGGGCCAAGCTGCTATTTAACTGATATATCATTACATATGGCAGACACATAAGCGAGTTTTACATAAACCTCAGCATTCACAGCTTTAAGCCTCTCCAGAACTTTCATCCACTTCCATCATCAACTCAAGCGCTGTGTGCTGAGTTTGGCTCGTCTCAGTCAGAGGTGAATCAAGTAGCTACTCACATTATTAAAATGGGGTTTTTTTATAGACTCACAGAACGGTTTGGGTTGGAAGAGACGTTAAAGATCATCTAATTCCAATCCCCTACCACAGGCAGGGAAAATTTCATCCAGGTTCTTCATACTACCCCAAAACCAGTATCTCACTGTGCAGTTAAAACACACAAGTATTAGGAACACATTACAG